AGTGCAGTGGTTCAATTACAGCTCACTGCAGCCTCAACCTCCCAGGCTCAAGTGATGATCCTTCTAGCTCAGCCTCCCGAATAGCTGGGACTAAAGGGGCACGCCACCATGCCCAGCTAATTTTTTGTAGAGATGGGGTTTCACAGGCTGATCTCACACTCCTGGGCTCAAGCAATCTGCCTCCCTTAGCCTCCCACAGTGATGGGGTTACAGGCATGGGCCACCGCACCCAGCCTTTCACTCACACATCTTTTCATTTATTTTCCCAAGCCTTTGTTTCTTCAGAGGTTCATTTATCCAATCAATACTTATTAAGCACCTACTATGTACCAGGCACTGCAGTAGGCACTAGGGGAAGAGCAATGAGCTAAACAAAGGCCCTAGTCTCACAGGACTGAACAGAGCACTGTATTTCCTCCAGTAGCAGAACAACCTTTTTTCACATTTCTTTTTTTTTTTTTTGAGACGGAGTTTCGCTCTTATTGCCCAAGCTGGAGTGCAATGGCGCAATCTCGCTCACTCCGCCTCCCAAGTTCAAGTGATTCTCCTGCCTCAGCCTACCAAGTAGCTGGGATTACAGGAACCCACCACCACGCCCAGGTCATTTTTGTATTTTTAGTAGAGACGGGGTTTCACCATGTTGGCCAGGCTGGTCTCGAACTCCTGACTTCAGGTGATCCACCTGCCTCGGCCTCCCAAAGTGCTGGGATTACAGGCATGAGCCACTGCACCTGGCAGGCACTATTTTTCAAATTTCTCTCTCTCTCTTTTTTTTCAAAACACGGTCTCGCTCTGTTGCCCAGGCTTGAGTGCAGTGGCACAATCACGGCTCACTGCAGCCTCGACTTCCTGGGCTCAGGTGATTCTCCCACATCAGTTTCCTGAGCAGCTGGGACTACAAGCATGCACCACTAAGTCTGGCTAATTTTTGTATTTTTAGTAGAGACGGGGTTTCACCATGTTGGCCAGGCTGGTCTCAAACTCCTAACCTCAAGTGATCTGCCTGCCTTGGCCTCCCAAAGTGCTGGGATTTATAGGCGTGACCCACTGCGCCCGGCCTAAAATGTCTTAATGGCACATGAAATTATGAACCATTTTACCATCAATGGCATCCCAGAGTCAATACGACCAGGTAGCTGCTAACACTTATTGAGTGATGGCTCTGTGCCAGGCACTAAGGCACCCAAGGGTGTTAAGTCATTTAATCCTCATAACCTGAGGGAGGGCATGTCACTGTCATTTTACAGATAAGCCAACCGATGCATGAAGTGTCAGTGACATGAACCCAGCCACTCACCCAGCACTGAACCCGGCCGGGCAGGCTCCAGTGTCTCCAAACACGATGCTATGCTGACCTTCCAGCGAACATTCAGGTCAGGAAGACAGAAAGTGAACAAACACAGCAGCACATATAAAACAGAATGCTGGACCAGGCGCGGTGGTTCACGCCTGTAATCCCAGCACTTTGGGAGGCCGAGGCAGGCAGATCACTTGAGGTCAAGAGATCGAGACCAGCCTGGCCAACATGGTGAAACCCTGTCTCTACTAAAAATACAAAAATTAGCCAGGCGTGGTGATGCACGTCCGTAAACCCAGCTACTTGGGAGGCTGAAGCAGGAGAATCGCTTGAACTTGGGAGGCAGAAATTGCAATGAGCCAAGATCGCATCGCTGCACTCCGGTCTGGCAACAGAGCGAGACTCCGTCTCAAAAAAAAAAACAAAAACAAATTGAATGCCAACCCCCCTCATATGAGAAGCAACACTGGATGGAGAAGGGGGAGGGGATATCTCTTAGAGTGGACAGGATGGGCCTCTCTGATGGGGGGACCTGTATGCAGGCCCTGAAATGTGGTGAGGGCCTCAGCTGTGTGAATACCTGGAGAAAGACAGCTCTCAGCAGAGAGAACAGTAAGTGCAGAGGCCCCAGGGCAGAAGCAGGCTTGGGAGGCGTGAGAAAAATTAAGATGCTGCCACTGGTCCACAGCCCCACATGTCATCTTCCAGCATCCCAATTCCGGAAATCCAAAATCTGAAATGCTCAAAACTCTGAAATGTTTTCAGCGCTAACATGACCCTCCAATAAAATGCTCACTGGAGGATTTCAGAGTTTTCGATTTGACATGCTCAAATAATAAAATAGATACAAATATTCCAAATTCCAAAAAACCTGAAATTCCAAACACTTCTGGTCGCAAGCATTTTGGACATGGGAAAGTCAACTGTACTTCCCACTTCAAGCTGGTGCGTCCCTGCCGCACGTGTACACCTCCGGACCCCACGCTCCTATCTAAGTCCTTGCGGGTGGTGGGTAGGGGCTTGTGGTGGTCTTTACCAGAATCTACGACAAAGCGGATCCCATCAATGGTGACTGAGGTCTCGGCGATGTTGGTGGAGAGGATGCATTTCCGGACTCCAGGTGGCGCCACATCAAATACCTGGGGGAAAGGGAGGGGGTGGTGTCAAGAACTAACTCAGCCCCGACGAACCTATGTGCCCAATTTCCCGTCCACCCCCATGTCAGCAGCTTCCCTGGAACCCTTTCCTCCTCCAGAGACCTCCCTCTCAGAGACAGCTCACCATCCACCCCATCACCTGGGCCATCCTGGGCCCTCCCCCATCCTCAGACGGAGGCAGTCTTGCTCTGTCACCCAGGCTGGAGTGTAGTGGCATGATCTCAGCTCACTGCAACTCCACCTCCTGGGTTCATGCAATTCTCTTGCCTCAGCCTCCGGAGCAGATGGGATTACAGGCATGTGCCACCATGCCTGGCTAATTTTTGTATTTTAAGGAGAGATGGGGTTTCACCACGTTGGCCAGGCTGGTCTTGAACTCCTGACCTCAGGTGATCCACCCGCCTAGGCCTCCCAATGTGCTGGGATTACAGGCATGAACCACCACACCCACCGCCCGATCTGAACATCTTGAACTTTTTTTTTTTTTGAGACAGGGTCTCACTCTTTGGCCTACACTGGAGTGCAGTGGCATGATCACAGCTCACTGCAGCCTTGACCTCTTGAGCTCATGTGATCCTCCCGCATCAGCCTCCCAAGTAGCTGGGATTATAGGCACATGCCACCATGCCCAGCTAGTTTTCTTTTGTTTTGTAGAGACAAGGTCTCACTATGTTGCCTAGGATGGTCTCTAACTCCTGAGCTCGGGTGATCCTCCTGCCTCAGCTTCCTGTGCTGGCATTATATGCGTGAGCCACCGCACCAGGCCATCTTGAACTTTTCTTGAAATCCTTCCCTCCTCCCACAGCCCGGCCCATGCCCTGGTCCAGGCCTCTCCTCACCCACTCTAATCCTGCTCTAGCTTCCCCTCAGATCTCTGGCCTGTAGACTCACATGGCAGCCAGAGGGATCTGCTGAAGCACAAACTGGCACTGCCCCTGCTGGGGGTCGAGGTGGGAGGATCGCTTGAGCTCAGGAGTTTGAAACCAGCCTGGGCAACACAGTGAGACCTCTTTGCTACTAAAATTTAAAAAAAAAATTAACGGAGGCCAGGCACGGTGGCTCACACTTGTGATCCCAGCACTTTGGGAGGCTGAGGCAGGCAGATCACTTAAGGTCAGGAGTTCAAGGCCAGCCTGGCCAACATGGTGAAACCCTGTCTCTACTCAACATACAAAAGATCAGCTGGACATGGTGGTGTGCACCTGTAGTCCCAGCTACTCGGGAGGCTGAGACAGGAGAATCGCTTGAACTTGGGAGGCAGAGGTTGCAATGAGCCACAATCACGCCACTGCACTCCAGCCTGGGTGACAGAGTGAGAATCTGTCTAAAAAAAAAAAAAAAATTAACGGAGTATAGTGACACACACCTATAGTTGCTACTTGGGGGACTAAGGAGAGGGGATCACTTGAGCCCAAGAAGTCAAGGCTGCAGTGAGCCCCGATTATGCCACTGCACTCCAGCCTGGACAACAGAGCAAGACCCTGTTTCAAAAAAAAATAATAATTGTTTTGGAACACAGACTTACCCACTCAATTTATGGCTGCTTTCATGCTGCAACAGTGGGGCTGAGTAGCTGTGACAGACAGCCAGCCCATGGTCCATAGCGCTGACAATATCTACTCTGATCCTTTCTAGAAAGTTTGCCGACCTCTGGTTTAGAGCATGGGCTCCAGGGCCAAACTACCTGGGTTCGCAGCCTGGCTCTGCCACTAGGTGGCTACGACTTTGCACAAGTGCAGCCCCCAAGCCCTGCGTCTGTGGAGTTACACAAGTCCTGTGTGCAGCCACCCCTGACTCATGCAGACCCCTCGCCTGCCCCACTTGGGCTTCCTGTGATACCTTGTCCTGGTCGGCCACAGACAGGGCACTGTGCAGGGGCAGCACCACCCAGCGCTGGGTGTGGCTGGCATAGGTCTGGGCGGCCTCCAGCACGGTGCTGATCTCCGCCATGCCGCTGAGGAAGACGAGGAGGTCACCCCGCTCCTCAGGTGGGTACTTGTGGTCAATGGACTCCAGTACCCTCAGGAAAGGGCGTGGGTCCAGCTTCTCCGACTTGGACGTGGTTGGCTCCGCCTCCTGTGGCTGGTACACGACCTGAGAGGAGACAGCCCCAGGTAGAAGCACACCCTGTCCCTTCAGCTCAGAGCAATGGGCTGGGGAGGCTGCAGGCTGACAGGGGAGAGCCGGTTGACAGAGAAGACACAGTGCAACAGGTACAGGCTGGTGGGCAACTCTGTTCCATGTGGTCATTCAGGGATCCAGGCTCCTCCTTTCTCATTAGTCTACCATCTCACTGGGCAGGATTTCTCAAAGTCAGCAAGATTGACATTGCAGTCTGGACAATTCCTTGTTGTGGGGGCTGTCCTGTGCATTGTAGGATATTTAGCAGCATCCTTGGCCCCTACCCACTAGATGCTAGTAGTCTTCTCCTCTGGTTGTGACTATTAAAAATGTCTCCAGATATTGCCACATGTTCACTGGGGGGCAAAACCACCCCTAATTGAGAAACAGGTGATAGACAGCACACTGCAGTTAGATAATTTCTGAAGGATGTAATAAAAAGACAAAGTAACAAAGCAACTGCAAGGCTTGTGGGGTGCTGGTAATGTCTGACTTTTCTAAACCTGGGTGCTAGCTACGTAGATGTATTTAACTGGGGAAAACTAATTGAGCTATATATTTACAATGCATGCATTCTCTTGTGTTTAGAGTAGCTTCAACAAGAAAAAAATTCTAGGTGATGGAACCAGGATGAAAACCCTAGAAATCAGGTTGGTTGGATGACCAGGAGAGGACCTGAGCCTGAGCCAGGTTGGCTGGCTGATTTCCAGGCATAGCTGGCTCACACCTGTAATCCTAGCTCTTTGGGAGGCCAAGACGGGAGGATTGCTTGATCTCAGGCAGACAACATAGCAACACCTCATCTCTACTAAAAAAAAAAAAACCAAAACCCTAGAAAACATTTCTCAGGAAGCAGCCTCATTCTTTCTTTTCTTTTTTTTTTTTTTTTTTGAGACAGCATCTCACTGTCTCCCAGGGTAGAGTGCAGCGGCATGATCTCAGCTCACTGCAACCTCTGCCTCCAGGCTCAAGCAATTCTCCTGCCTCAACCTCCCAAGTAGCTAGGATTACAGGCACATGCCACCATGCCCAGCTAATTTTTGTATTTTTAGTAGAGACAGGGTTTTACCATGTTGGCCAGGCTGGTCTCGAACTCCTGACCTCAGGTGATCCACCTGCCTCAGCCTCCCAAAGAGCTGGGATTATAGGCATGAACCACCACACCCGGCTGGCACTCTCTCTCTCTCTCTCTTTTTTTTTTTTTTTTGAGATGGGTCTTGCTCTCTTCCCAGGGTAGAGTGCAGCGGCATGATCTCAGCTCACTGCAACCTCTGCCTCCAGGCTCAAGCAATTCTCCTGCCTCAACCTCCCAAGTAGCTAGGATTACAGGCACATGCCACCATGCCCAGCTAATTTTTGTATTTTTAGTAGAGATAGGATTTCACCACGTTGGCCACGATGGTCTCGAGCTCTTGACCTCATGATCTTTCTGCCTCAGCCTCCCAAAGTGCTGGGATTATAGGCACGAGCCACTATGCCCGGCCCATTCTTTCTTTTTTTATGGCTGCTTAGAAGGCAAATTGATGGGCATTTGGAACCAGAAATCACAAGAGACAATGAAGTTCTTCCTGTAAGTCTTGACTACACAGACAAGGATAATTCACTAAGACAGTGTTTCTCAATTAGGGGTGGTTTTGCACCCCAGGGAACATGTGGCAATATCTGGAGACATTATTAATAGTCACAACCACAGGAGAAGACTACTAGCATCTAGTGGGTAGGGGCCAGGGATGTTGCTAAATATCCTATGATCCACAGGACAGCCCCCACAACAAGGAATTAACCTTGATTGAAATGTCAATCTTGCTGACTTTGAGAAATCCTGCCCAGTGAGATGGTAGACTAATGGGAAAGGAGGAGCCTGGATCCCTGAATGACCACCTGGAACAGGGTTGACCACCAGTCTGGATCAGTCGCACTGTTATCTAAGAGAAATAAACTTCTCTTATTTGAGACTTTACATTTTTGTTTTGTTTTTTTTCTTTTTGTTTTCTGAGACAGAGTCTTGCTGTGTCATCCAGGCTGGAATGCAGTGGTGCGATCTCGGCTCACTGCAAGCTCTGCCCCCCGGGTTCAAGCGATTCTCCTGCCTCAGCCTCCCAAGTAGCTGGGATTACAGGCGCCCACCACCATGCCTGGCTAATTTTGGTTTTGTATTTTTAGTAGAGACGGGGTTTCACGGTGTTAGCCAGGATGGTCTCGATCTCCTGACCTCATGATTCGCCTGCCTTGGCCTCCCAAAGTGCTGAGATTACAGGCATGAGCCACTGTGCCCAGCCATTTTTGGGTCTTCTTCTAACAGCTTTTACTCTAATAAGCACTTAGCACTCTAACCAGGTCATTATGAATGCTCAGAAAATGGTAGCTTTAAAAAAAGAGAAGATCTTTAAAAAAAAAGAGATGGCAGATACAGCCACAGAGAGAAGAGGCATGTCCAGGTTTGGACAGAGACCAGGTTGGAGGTCTGGGGATGTAGGAGGAGGGGAAAGTACTCACTGTGATGGGGAACAGCCTCCCGGGCACCTGTACCACGGGTGCATTGCTGAAATAGCTGGAGAAGAGCGAGATGTTGATGGTGGCCGACATGAGGATGACCTTGAGGTCAGGCCGCTTGGGCAACAGGCGCCGGAGGACACCCAGGAGGAAATCATTGTGGAGATGCCGCTCATGGACTTCATCCACAATCAGGACCTCGTACTGGGGCAGACTGGGCTCCCGCTGGATTTGTCGCAGAAGCAGCCCCACCGTCAGGAACACAATCTTGGTGGCCGCCGAACGCGTGCTCTCAAAGCGGATCTGGTAGCCGACCTGGGGTGGGATGAAGAAAGGTGTGGTCAGGAGAGGACCCTGAGCCTGGGTATCAGCCCCTGGCCCTGCCCAAATTGAAAATCTAAGCAGGCCACGTGCAGTGGCTCACGCCTGTAATCCCAGCACTTTGGGAGGCCGAGGCGGGCGGATCACCTAAGGTCAGGAGTTCGAGATCAGCCTGACTAACACAGAGAAACCCCGTCTCTACTAAAACTACAAACAAAATTAGCCGAGCGTGGTGGCGGGCGCCTGTAATCCCAGCTCCTTGGGAGGCTGAGGCAGGAGAATTGCTTGAACCCGGGAGGCAGAGGTTGCAGTGAGCCGAGATCGCACCATTGCACTCCAGCCTTGGGCAACAAGAGTGAAACTGCATCTCAAAAAAAAAAAAAAGAAAGAAAAAAGAAAATCTAAGCAAATGCCATGCCTAGCCATCAGACTCTGGAGTCCAACAGCTTGGGTTGGAATCCTACCTCTGCCACTTAGTGCCACAGACCTTGGGCAGGCAATGCCATCCTTTACAGTTTTCCCCCTAGGTGCTGCGAGAATGCCATGTGACAATGCACAGAAAGTATCTAGCACCATACCTCATGTATATATAATGTTTACTATAATACAAATAACCTTTTCTTGAGTCCCTACTATGTGCCAGGACATTATGTACCACTCTAAGCGCTTTATGTATATCAACCCATTTCACCCTTATGACCACCATGACACAGAAGGACTATTATTGGCCTTCCAAGATGGCAGTTTGCATTGCGGTGATTGCCAGGAATCACCTTCGCAGCTGGGCGCAGTGGCTCATGCCTGTGATCCCAACACTTTGGGAGGCCGAGGTGGGTGGATTACCTGAGGTCAGGAGTTTGAGACCAGCCTAACCAACATGGCGAAACCCCGTCTCTACTAAAATTACAAAAATTAGCTGGGTAGGGTGGTGGGTGCCTGTAATCCCAGCTACTCAGGAGGCTGAGGCAGGAGAACTGCTCAAACCCGGGAGGGGGAGGTTGCAGTGAGCTGAGATCGTTCCACTGCACTCCAGCCTGGGCGACAGAGCGAGACTCTTGTCTCAAAAAAAAAGTGACAAGCCTTTAGGACGTTTCCCATTGTTTTGCCATTAAAGTGCTACACTGGTAATGCTAGCTCCTTTGTCATATAGACCACGGACAAGCCAATCTGTGGATAAAGTTCTAGAAGAATCATTACTGGGTCCAAGGGTAAGTGCTTCATTTTTTTTTTTGAGATGGAATCTCGCTCTGTGGCCCAGGCTGGAGTGCAATGGTGCAATCTCGGCTCACTGCAAGCTCCGCCTCCCGGGTTTACGCCATTCTCCTGCCTCAGCCGCCTGAGTAGCTGGGACTACAGGCACCCGCCACCACGCCTGGCTAACTTTTTGTATTTTTTAGTAGAGACGGGGTTTCACTGTGTTAGCCAGGACGGTCTTGATCTCCTAACCTCATGATCCGCCTGCCTCGGCCTCCCCAAGTGCTGGGATTACAGGCTTGAGCCAACATGCCCGGCCAAGTGCTTCATTTTTATTGATACTGCCATATGGACAAGCAACCTATTCCCCCAAGATCGCCCTGGAAAAGTCGGAAATCTGGTGCGTCCCACTCACCTGTGAGCCATACTGACTAAGGCTCTCAAAGCCTACACGCTTGGCCAGTGAGATGCAGGCGATCCGCCGGGGCTGGGTACACGCCACGTGACTGAAGCCAGCAGTCAGCAGGTACTGGGGCACCTGAGTGGACTTGCCACAGCCGGTGTCACCGGCCACTACCACCACCTGGTGCTCCTTCAGTGTCTGCAGGATGCGGTTCCCATACTGGGCGATGGGGAGGGCTGCCCGCTCACGCTGCAGCTTGGCCAGACGCCCAAATGCCTGCTTCTGGCCAAAGTCCAGATAGTGCAACAGGGCCCGGCGGAACTCAGACACTCTCTCCGCAGGCAAGTGCCTGCCCAGCCCCTGAGAGCCCCGTGTGTCAGGGCCAAGAACAGAGAGGTTGATGCGGTAACGTGGGTCATAAGCGCGAGGTAGGTCGGCCAGCGCTGGGATGCTGTGCTTGGGCTGTCCAGGGTCTTTCTCCTCCTTCCTGGAGGTCTTGAGATTCTGAAATCTCTGCAGGCGCTCAAAGAAGGTCCAAAACTTCTGACATTCCTCAGAACCCTGACGGATGTAATCCTCCTCACGGAAGAAGGCATCTTCCAAGAGGCGACGTGTCTCTGGACAATTCCAGTCCCATTTCTCCAAGGCCTCTTCCTCGCTGGGAGCCCAGTGGTGGTCTCGGCGATCCCTGCCCTCTCTTGTTCTAGGAGGCGGCATGTTACTAATCCACAATGGGGGTCTCAGTTCTGATCACCCAAAACAAATATTCTCATCCATTCCCAACCTGCAACAATTTAAGAGGCCAGTGCCTTAAATTGCAACAGAGAACTACTTTATCTTCAAAGAGCTAATTTTTCCTCCTAGTCAGGGCACAGGACCACCACAGATGATAAAGTGGTCAGGGGACTGCTTGAGCTGATGACACAAAGGGTACCTCATGATACCTGCAGTGATCTCTGGGATGGACACAAGTTCATTCTGGGTTTTCAGGCCCTGGATTCTTAGGAGAGAGAACAGAAGACATTCATTCACTTTTGGGAACAGTGCCTTCTTTTTTTTTTTTTTTTTTGAGGCAGGGTCTCACTGTTTCCCAGGCTGGAGTGCAGTGCCGCAATCATGGCTCACCACAGCCTTGACCTTCTGGACTCAAGCGATCCTCCTGCCTCAGCCTCCCGAATAGCTGGGACTACAGGCACATGCCGCCACACCCAGCTAATTTCTTACTGTTTGTAGAGATGAGGTCTCACTATGTTGCCCAGGTCGATATCAAACTTCTGGGCTCAAGCAATTCCCCCATCTCAGCCTCCCAAAGTGTTGGGATTACTGCTGTGAGCCACCACGCCCAGCTCATTTTTAGAAACATTTCTAACAGCCTGTTTCTCAAGCACTGAACCAGGAAAAGGAGGTAATGAATATGACCACCAGAGTCCTCACAGATGGCCATGATGACATCATCTCTCATGTGACACACACGTCATCAGACTGTGACAATCCAGTGATGGGGACTGTGATAACAGAACCCTAGGGAGCTGTGGGACACCAAAGGAGGTTCCTCCTCCTTCCCATGCTTGGGAATCGTGGAAGGATCCTGGGAGGAGGGGATGTTTGACCTGACACCTAAAGGAGAGATGTAGGTCACACGGCCAACCAACAGCAGAATCTTGTCTCAAAAGGAAGTAACAGGAGAGAGGTGTGATGTAATGAAAAGAATAAGGCAAGGGTTCTTCACCCGGGGTCCAGTGAGATTCAGAACATTGAGATAAAAGGCAAAATTTTGCAAGTGTTATATATTATTTTTGCCTGCCTGGCACAACCCCTTACTTCTTTTCTGAGGATAGTATCCAACTTCCTTTGGAGAACAGCCCTTCCTCGATTCTACATGGTTCAAGGGCCTTTAAGTCAAAGAACCACTATTGGGTAGGCAAGTGACAAAGACCTGGCCAATCATGGTACTCTACTCCCCCTCTAACCAATGATTGGTCTGAGAAGTGGACACATGATCAAAGAAGGGCCAATCAGGGCCCTTTTGTGGAATTTACACTCGGTTGCTAGGACAGAAAAGCTCTCATTTTATCCATTATAATCAGGCAAGTTTGATATAAGCCTGGAGCTGTTTGTAGTAGCTCTGAAACATGACAGAGTCTTTCCTAAAATCTATCCTAGAGAAATAACTAGATACAGGCACAAGGATATCACTGTGCATCACAGGGAGAGGGTGAAAGAGGAAGAGGGAGAGGAAGAGAAGTTTGGCAACATCATTTAGGTCTTGAAGCTTAGTTTCCTTCAACCCCCCACTTCTCAGCTACACAAGAAAATGCCTTTTTGCTTACAGTTAGAGTCTTTTGTTTTTGTTTTGAGATGGAGTCTTGCTCTGCCACCTAGGCTGGAGTGCAGTGGTGTGATCTTGGCTCACTGCAACCTCCACCTCCCGGGTTCAAGCAGTTCTTGTGCCTCAGCCTCCCAAGTAGCTGGGATTACAGGCGTGTGCCACCATGCCCAGCTAATTTTTTGTATTTAGTAGAGACAGGGTTTCACCGTCTTGGCCAGGCTGGTCTCAAACTCCTGACCTCAAGTGATTCACCCACCTCAGCCTCCCAAAGTGCTGGGATTACAGGCGTGAGCCACCGTGCCCAGCTCCCTGGGCAAATTAACCTGAACTAACTTCAGGCAGTTTTCATCATGTATAAAACAGAGATAATATCCTCTCAAAACTTTACATTTAACCATCAATCTTGGTAGAGAGAAGCTAAGTAGTTAAATAGTAACTAGAAACAGAAAACAGAAAACTAACAAGCAGAAAACAGCAAGAGGAAGTGGAGCAAAATCTGGAAACAAAATTAGACTCAAAAGGCCACAGTTCCCTATCATAATGGTGCTAACAATGCTCCCACCTCCTCTTGTGTTTTCCTGTTCTAGGAGGGAAGCAAGTTGAGGGCTTGGAGTGTTACTGTGACTCTGGGTCAGTGATTCTTCGAAAATGAGAGCGTTCCGGCCGGACGCGGTGGCTCACAACTGTAATCCCAGCACTTTGGGAGGCAGAGGCGGGCGGAATATGAGGTCAGGAGATCGGGACCATCCTGGCTAACATGGTGAAACCCCGTCTCTACTAAAAATACAAAAAAATTAGCGGGGCGTGGTGGCAGGCACCTGTAGTCCCAGCTACTCAGGAGGCTGAGGCAGGAGAATGGCATGAACCCGGGAGGCGGAGCTTGCAGTAAGCCGAGATCATGCCACTGCATTCCAGCCTGGGCGACAGAGCGAGACTCCGACTCAAAAAACAAAAAAATGAAAATAATATGAGAGTGTTCCTCTGAGGCTACAAACTGCCTATGCATGCTGAGCCCCGCTGAGAGCATCCCGTGCCTCTCAAGGTGTCTATTTTTTTCAGCTTCTAGGTTGTCTGCATCTTCTAGTTTCTGTGTAACTGTGTCTCTGACCATCTTTTGGTCTCTTGGCCTATTTGCCCTGGGCTCATGGCCTTTAGTGGGTTTGTTTCCCCCTCTGTCCCCTCCATCTCTCTCCATTCCTTCTTCAGGCCTCTGTCTCTTTTTCAGTCTGTCTTGTTCATCATCCTCATCTCTCTTCCCTGTCCTATTCTGGTCTCATCTCTCTTCATTTATCTGAGTCATTTCGTAGTCTGATTTTCTCTGTAATCCAGCTCTTCCTTTCTCCATCTCTCTTCAGTTCTCCATTTGACGTTCTCCATCTTTCTCATTTAAAAAAAAGCTTTTTCAGGCCGGGCACGGTGGCTCACGCCTGTAATCCCAGCACTTTGGAAGGCCGAGGCAGGCAGATCACCTGAGGTCGGGAGTGCGAGATCAGCCTGACCAACATGGAAAAACCCCATCTCTACTAAAAATACAAGATTAGCTGGGCGTGGTGGCACATGCCTGCAATCCCAGCTATTTGGGAGGCTGAGGCAGGAGACTTGCTTGAACCTAGGAGGCGGGGGTTGCGGTGAGCTAAGATCACGCCATTGCACTCCAGCCTGGGCAACAAGAGTGAAACTCCAAACTCCAACTCAAAAAAATAAAAATGTTTCATTTTTGTTTTTTCGAAACAGGGTTTCACTCTCTCACCCAGCCTGGAGTGCAGTGGCGCAATCACAGCGTACTGCAGCCTTGATCTCCCAAGCTCCAGCGATCCTCTCACCACGACCTCCCAAAGTGCTGGGGTGACAGGCGTGAGTCACCGCGCCCTCTTTCTCATGTTGTTTTAATCTTTTTTTCCTCCCTTGTGTCCTTCCAGTGTTCACTCTCCATCACCTTCTCTCTCCATTTCCCCATCTAATACTTTATCTCCCAATATCAGAAGCTTTAATAATAGCTCATGCTTACTTACTTACTGCTTACTCCCGTTAACACACAGACCTATTCCTATCTGTATGATTTATTCCTATCCCACACCTATGTACATACACACACACTTTTCTCACGACTGTAAGGCACTATGATCACCCCCTATTTTACTGAGCAATAGAGAGGCTAAGTGAGTAGCCAAGTGTCAGATGAGGAACTCAAATCTAGGGGTTCGGGCTCCACTCCCTCACTTTTCCATTTCTCAGCATCATTCTCCATTACCTCCAGTTTTTGTGGGGTTCTCCCTACTTCACTGTCTCCACCCTTCCATATCTCTCGGTGTCCCACATGATTCAGTGTATCGTTTCTCCATCTAATTCCCATTTTTTCTGTTTCTAGCGTCCACCATCAGTTTCCGACTTTCCCCTCCACTCCCCAAGTTTAAGGGCGACCACGCCTCTCGGCCTCGTGGTCTGAGCCTCTGGCTGGAACCTATCGCAACTCTCGCCCACGCTCTCTAGTTTTCAGCTTCCCTCCTCTCCCAACACCCTCGTCTTTCAGTCCCTCAGTTTCTCGAGGCTTCTTTTCGTGCCTCCGTTTCTTTCCGTCTCTGGCCTGTAGCCCAGGTTCTCCCAGAGACGCTCAGGTGCCATCTCCGTCCGCGTCTGCCGGCCCTTCGGCTGCCTGCTACATTTCTCCTCATCTCGAGATTTCCCTCGCCCCTGGGCTCGCACCCCAAATTACCCCCGACCGGCCCAACTCCGGCAGCCATCGCTGCCACCACCCGGTGCACCCTCCCCGCCCTCCTCACTTACTACAAGCCGCGAACGCCTTAACTTCCGGTTCCAAGAGCCCTAGTCTTGCGCCTGCGCACACCGCCATCTCGGTCTGACCCCGCCCCGCCACCACAGAGGAGCCAGTCGGAAGCTCTGGGCTGCCCAAGACCCATCCTGCGCCTGTGCACAGCACGCTTCCGCCTCGCCTCGCTTGGGGCGGAGCCTCGAGAGATTGCGCCCTCTAGAGGCCAGTAGAGGCGTTGCGGTACAGACTTGCAGGCACATCCTCCCCGACGCCTCCCTCTCCTCCCCAGGCATAGCC